TCCTAATATATGGCAAGTAGCAGTTAACGATGTGCTTTTTTAATAGTGTTTCGATGCTCATCATGGAGTCAATATTAAAAATACCCTTAGGGCTTGTTGTTTTCGCCTGATTTGATTGATTTTAAGAATAACTTATTGATCTGGTCCGATTTGATTGTAGTTGTATATTAAGTGGGTTCTGATCTGATCTGATTCTAATAAGAAAAAGTAATAAGTAATAAGAATAAGTTGAAGAGAACTAGCTCTTAGTCTTATTTCTTATGGAGAATTATCTTATGTAGAAACCTACCAATATTGTTCTTTTCAACCTTTATACAAAGTAATGATTATGCTGCCAATAGGTAATATGACATGTTTTTACTATCATTACCTGAACAAATTATCCCGGCAATTGTTGTAGAATTATCCTTTTTTTCTTTTCAAAATCAACCAGACTGGAGAGATTTGCCTAGATATATTGAAGAACGCATGGAGCCCTGCATGGACTCTTCAATCTGTCTGTCGGGCAATTATTGCTTTGATGGCACATCCTGAACCTGATAGCCCGCTGAACTGTGATTCAGGTACTCCCCCTTATCACCATAGCCTGCCTTTCTCATTCCACTGCGAGTGCAATTTTTTTTTTTGTTTCTTTTACCTAGAGATATGTATAATGGAAAACATTGTTTGGTTTGGGCATAGATCAGAGCAATCATATAGTAACTAGTGAATTTACCAACGATTTCCTAGTGTCCATATGAATGTGTGGAACGGTCCATATGCATGGCAGCACTCTTCTCGCTCAATGTGCACAGGGCCACAGGGTTCTGCATTGTAGCATTTTTTTTCAAAATCCATGGATTGTAAACATAATTTTACTTTTCACATTGGGCATAGGACCTGAGATTATTTTTATATCCCTTTCTATGCATCTCCCCGGGTGAAATTCTTCTAAACAATGCTATTTTAATGCTCCATCTCTTCCAAAAAAGGGGTTCTTGTTTTTCTCTGCCCGTCATAAAAATAAGTTTTGCGTTTTCATCATATAAAAGAATCATGGTTCATATTATCTTTGTTTCTCGATGACCGTGCCATGTCAAAACGAGGACCTTTTTCCCAAATTGTTCCTTGCGAACACTAGTGGGTGTCATTTTTCTCCGTGGATTTGAGTCTCATCCTTGTGTTCAATGCTAAAAATAACGCAGGAAATCTTCTTCGCTCTGGTGATATGAGAGGATATCAATCAATGGCAAGAATGTATACTAGGCTTGCAGCTATGCCTAAAAAGGGTTGAATTGGTGAGCAACTCCTACTACTTGTAAACAAAGTCATTTAAAAAAAAAGATTCTTAAACGATTGATGAACAAGTTCCGCCAACTATGGAGTGTTGCTGTAAAATCATCAAATATTTGTTGTGTGATAGATTGTCATGCATTATTGCTATAAACCATATTCTTAACATGAAAGTCTGTTTCTAGCTAAGACCATATGATAAATGTGCATTCTTAATGAGTGGGGTACCTTTGACACCAAGGGCATGCGTCATAATTTGACACCGGTCCACTTGAGCTACGGTCTCCGTACAAGCCCTAGCCCCATGTTTTACCGATATGCTACATTAAATACTATAGCATTAAATACTATAGCATATCGGCACAACAAAGGAGGGGTAGAAACCACTTTGGCGTCGAACAGAGTTGGTGTCAAAGCATGACATTGGATCTCAATGTCAAGGGAACCTTGTCTGTCAAAAGAATCCCAAACATTTTCAAATTCTTACTCTATTGAAATTGTGTGATTAAGATTTATTTTGAGCAAATGGAATTAATACTCTGTCCCAATAAAAGGTTCAATATTTTACTTGGCATAGAAATTACTCCCTCCGTCCTAAAATTAATTTCCCATTTGACTTTTCACGGTCTCCAATGCGGCACTTTGACCATTAATATCTCCAATTTTATATGTATATATATTATCAAAATAATATATTTCAAAACTATGTTTCAAAATAAATCTACTGATACTAAATTTATATGAAAATTCAATATATTTTTTCCGTAATATGCAGTCAAAGTTTAAAAACTTTGACTACAAAAGTCAAAATAAGAAATTAATTTTAGGACGGAGGAAGTAATAGACATGAAATTGTATGATAAAAAGTGATGCAAAGAAGAGAAATTCTGAAGACTGTATTTTTTTTTAATTAATGGAAAGTAGAATCTTTTTTTGAGACAAAAAATAAAATAAAAATACTAAACAAAAAGTAAAACATAGAGAAAGTATCGGAATACGTGTTTCATGTTTTTATTCACAAAATAATAGTAACAATGTCATTAATGTTAAAGTAATATATACTTCGTAATACAAAAAAAAAACAAAATGCTAATATACAATATTGCATTATTGTAGCATAATTTTTTATTTTGAGGTTAACGTTACAGTAATATTTTCTTTGTTTTATTTTTAATTTGGGTGATTTTAAAAAAATTACTAGTATAATTCTTTTTAAAAATTATTTCTATAAATTTGTCATTTTTGTATTTGGAGTTTAAATTATTTAAAATATTTTTTTCACTTGGTGAGGTGGATAAATGGCAACTTGTGTAGTAATCAAATTATATTTTTAGGTTCTGAGTCGAATCTTATTGTTAGGTTTTTTTGACATTTCTCAAGGTAGTTCTTACTTCTTACCCATCAACAAACCACCCATCTCCAAAGTAGGCCGAGAGTTTATAAAGGGATTAAATGGAGCGTCGTAAGTAGAGGTGGACATAATACTAGATCGATTCTAGTTACATGCGGTTCTAATTGCTAATCAATTTTGAATAATTTGTTTAAAAAAGTATTTTTGGTAAAATAGTTATATACTCCGTAGTTTACTTCAAACTCTTTCTTGGTGGTAAATATTGTTAACCAACTTCAAACAATTACTCTATCTTTTTACCAAAATCATTTCTTTGTTATTTTTTCTCTTTCACCAAAACACTTCCACTTTCTTTGAAATTCGAACTCGTTGTCATGGGATAAAAAAATGATTACTCTGTATTCTGTTACTCATCATTAGGCGTGTCAATGAGTCGGGTTCGAGCCGATCCATAGTGTTCTATACCTGTACTTTTTTAAAAAAAATTGGTCCTGACCCGTACCCGTTTACCCGATGGGTCTTGAAGTTTAATCTTAGATTTGGACCCATTGGGTCTCATTATCGAGTCGGGTATACCCGTGATAAAAGTTGACGTTTTTTGTTTTTCTATTATTGAAAAAAATTTAGTGAAAATGCTATTAATGAAAAACATTTTAATTCAATACAAATAAACTAAGACTAATACGTTACTGCAACAAAAATCACCTTTCATTACCAAAAATCTACCACAAAATCTTAGATTCATAATCAGCCTTCATGTAAGATTAATTCATGTTGCAAGAATGTTCTTTATTACGTATAACATTATAACTAAATCCAAACCATTTATTTAATACTACTACATAAACCAACGTGTACATGCTTCTGATGTGATGAATTAAATACAAATAGATTTCCAAGCCACATAACAAGCGAATAAGAGAGGTAGGGTTTTGTAATTTTTAATATTATCTATTTATTTAATCGGCACGGGTTTTAAGCGGGTCGGGACTACTCGTCCTGTATCCGACCCTTTATTTTTTAAAAACAATGGGTTCGAGTTTGGGTACGGGTAAAAAATATTTTTTTTACTCCTAAACCCCAAAAAAAATTACTTGTATTATACGGGTTCAAGTCTATACTCGACCCAATAAGACCTACTCATCATTAAGCGTTAATTAAAAAAATTGAAATTGCACAATTAAGGTACAACCAACTTCACCATCCCATCATATCATCAAAATTCAACAATTAGAGATTTTTATTGTCCAATTTGAGAGGATGAGATGGTGAAGTTGGGTGTAAATCGATCGTGTGACACAAAATATTTTGAAGTGCACATGGGATTAGTGTGCTGGGCAATCTACTGCTTCTAATAACACATAATTAACAAGAAAGAAATATGGTTATAACTACGGTGTGGGCGAAAAGACATATACGGAGTGTATTCATTTGTAAACTCACAAAAGATATATGGACGCTGGTGGGCGTTGCGCAGTTTGCAGAAAATGCCAAGGGAGTAAGACCCAAGTTCGATACCTGACAACTGCGTTGGGAGGCAACTATGCTAAGCATAGGGCCTTTGCAAGTACCAGGGTGCATGCTCTACTCTTTGCCACCAATCTGTGATTAAAGTCATATTCACCTCCTCTTCTCCGGCTGGGTTTGAGGAGGCCCTCGGGGATGAGGCTCATCCCTTTTTTTACAAAAGATATATGGATCTACCCTCCCTACTACTTCTCTAGGGTTTCTAAATAAAGACTAAATTCTCTAATTAGTCGTTTAGGTTTTCCTTATTTAGTTCTTTATTATCAAATACTCCCTCCGTCCGCGTAAGATCTTCTCGTTTTGACTTTTTGTGATTTTTAAGGAGAGTCGAAAAAAGGTGAAAGTTTACCATAATACCCTTAATGAAAATGGATGGAGTGTATTAAATGAGGTGGGTGAGATGTAATAAATAAAGTAAGTGGAGATAGTTGTGGCATTTTAATTGTTAAAAAAGGTAATGAAAAGATTTATGGTGGACAAATAAAAAGAGCCAATGAGAAGATCTATAGGGGACGGAGGGAATACTATTTATGTGGACTTTTTTATGGGTATCTTTCCAGGAATATTCTTTTTTGTCCTTTGTCATGTTTGTGTCAGTTTGAATGCTAAAAGTGCAATTTCACAATAATCATACGAGTATTTTTCTTGTCATATACGATTCCAGAGGCTGCTTTTGATGCGTTGTTTGCGAATCGCAATCGCTTTCTACTACAACTATAGTTTACTAATGTGACCTTTCGTCAGGATCCTAATTCAGAGTCATAATCATCATTGTTGTGTTGTTTGCCCGACCAATATCAGAATACGTGAGTTGATGTCAAATTACACTTTTGAGTCTCAAATTAACACCAACGTATAGCAATATTTATTGTTACTGCTCCAAAGCTTTCATCTATGGAGAAGATCGAGTGGGATCAGAAGAATATTCTTTGGAAAGATGATCTCCTCTTGGAATGCCTTTCTTTTCCAAACCAAATAGTCTTCCAGAAGAGGGAACAAGATTTATCATACTTCAAGGGTATAATTTTTTTATTCCTTAAAATTGATATCAGAATTTAATTTTATGTCATTGCCGTGTATTCAAAGGTCAGCAAATCAAGTTGCTCATTTGTTGGCTAGAGCATCTGCTTCTATGTATGATCTGGTGGAGTGGGTCTCTGTCCCTCGAGTTTGTACTCGCATTGCTTTACATGTTGACAATTTGAAGTAATGCAGAGTTTCCTTTCAAAACAAAGAATGCTAACAATTAACTCCATTGCAAACATCTAACTCTAAACCCTAAAATAGTGGCTGGGAAGATCATTTTAAGGCAGAGGGAGTATGACTTTATTAAAACTTGATTTAATCTGATCTAATTTAATTGTAATTATATTTAAAGACTGATTTGATATGATTTTAATACAAATAAGTAATAAATTGTAGGAATAAGTTGAAAAGAACTAGCTCTACCTCCCAAACTAAGCCCTTAAGGTTTTAGCTCAAGGGGCTTGAGGAACTTGTCAAACCAATCACTTGCTTCTTTTACCATGAATGGTGTCATTTCATGCCCAACTCCAGGTTGCGCTATCACCTGAATTTTGTTTAAGAAAAATATGAGACATTGAGAGAGCTTTTAATATCTTGAAAGAATTATGCTTGGAGTACTCCCAACTTTGACACCACTCTTCTTACATGCATTCACAGACACGGAACAGTGTCGGGCAGATGTCTATGAGAAGGTGGTGTGAAAGGTGGTGTCTACCTGTAAATGCTCAGGACATTGTGCATCTTCATAAGATTGGCTTGCTTTAGACATTACAACTTTCAAGCCAGCGAGTGGACACCGAGGATCTTCTTCACCTGCATCGTCCCCAAACATGAATTTTTATATCCTTCCATTCATTAATATTTGCATGGAGAGTGTGGTCTTGATAACATGAAAGACGTTTCAAAATATGTGACGGCTTAGAAAGCCAAGGAAACATTTTAATTCCTTTGAATAAAAATCGCCCTTATCCTCCTCCTACCCTAAGAAGACATTGATAAAAGGTTTAGACAATTAAGGCCCCGTTTGGTACCTGTGTGAGTATCCATCCAAACCCATACTTCTTCTTCGGTCACAAAAAGTGAATTCTAAAACTCATTTTTGAAGCCTCCTCAAACCCATTCCCTCATTCCCCCAACCCCCTCCAGTTTGGCAACCATTCCTACAAATTCGTTCTTCTCTCAAACATTCTAAAACCAATTCAAAATCATTAAGGGTCCGTTTGGTATACGGAATTGGAATTGAATTAGAATTGAGATTCCATGAGATTCAATTCCATAGAATTGAATTCTGCCAATTTCAATTCATTTTTTACACTATCAATTCCAAATCCAGATAAATTTTGTGCTACCAAACACCATAATTGGAATTGAAGCCCTCAATTCCAATTCCATAGTTTGAATTCCATGTACCAAACGGGGCCTAAAACATCATTCCTGCAGCGAAGGAGTAGAAGTAAGAAATTTTAGAGCAGATGGAGTAAAAGTAACCAATATCCGATAATTTGGTAATAGAATCATATGGGTAAAACTAAAGGGCATGGTGTTTAATGAATAAACATACCATTAAGAATCAGCAAAGGGCGTGGTGAAATAATTGGCACTGTGTAGGGTGAATCAAAATCTGAGGCTAAACCTGGTGCTATTCTGTCCCACACCTGTCCACAAATGAAAATTATAGCACTACATAATCTTTTAGGGCACATTTTTTGAGTGCACAAAATATGAATTCTGACATCTACCGATATCGGACCCTTTTGTGAGTGTTTGGTGAAGACTAAACATGGTTTGAATATAATACAGGTAAACTGATATCTCCCGATTTTGGGAGATATCAATTTGGGGGTTTTGATTATAATGACTAATGAGCTTAACAATGCAACCTTCCCTGAGCTACCATCTTTGGATAGCTTAGAAGGTCATGATGGTCCTATAGAACTCTGGACTCTCGAGATAGAGAGAAAATGAATGGTGATTTACTGATTTACTTTGTTTGGGAACTTGGATTTGGATTTCAAATATGGATTTGGCTCAAATTCAATGCTTGGGAAACTTAAAAATTTTAGATTTGGATTTGAGTCAAATTCCTCTCATTCATAACAAAGCATAATTTGAAATCCATGCACCTCCCCTAGTCATTTGAAATTCAAGATTTCAAATTTTAGAATTAAAATGAAATGCTAGTTTCCAAACACTACCTTATGGATTTCAGTGATGAGATTGCAAAGCACAATATTTAAAACTTTAAATGATTGCTACAACTTGAGAGATGAAAGATGGGAAAAAATTGTTATCCATGCATACCTTCTCCACGACATATTTATCAATCTCATCCATGCCTAAATCAGCCCGGGCTTCTGGAAATAGAATAAATAAGTTTCCAGGTGAAATGGGGAATAACATGATCTGAACACACGTATCGAAAGTAGCATATATCAGTAAAATCTACCTTGAAGTACTCCCTTTGTCTGATTTATAAGTCCCCCTTCTAACTGTCTTTTTTTTGCTAGGAAAAATTCATACCAATACTCATAGAATTTGAGATTTTACATGAATACTCCAAAATTTCATTATTATCACCACGCTATACAAAAAATAAAAATTTTTACAATAATACTTCAAGATTGCATATTGATCACAAATATGCCTAAAAATAGGAGATCCGTGCAAGCTAATAATTCTATTGGAGTATTATTATAAAAATATGAAATTTTTGAGAGCGCAGGTGATAATTAGTGAAGTTTTTTTGTAAAATCTCAAATTTTTGGGAATATTGGCATGAATTTTTCCTTTTGTTGTTTTGTTTTTGTTTTTTGGGTGGGGTGAGTTTGGCTTAATATCAATTACTATAGGTGATCTCACCTTCAAAGACAGCCTTGATACTGTTCACTCTAGCTTGCCATTTGTCATTTTCTATGGCCCATCTGAATCCCTAAATTTGCAATAGAAATCAGATTTCATTATTTAAAAAAACACCTCAAAATCCACTCCCAATCTGCTACAAATATCATACCTCCCTCCATTAAAAACAAAATCATCTTTGTAATATCATTTTTAGCATAAGATGCCCAAGCTACCTGTACCCCGATTATGGGGACAACCACTGTATAACGAGTGTCAGCTGAAGCAGCAAACCAAGCATGCATGCCTGCAAAGTGCAAACAAGATTTTTTCCGAATCAGCCCACAGAAGAGATTGTGAATCAGATTTAATGGCATTTACCCTACCTCCAAGTGATTCCCCGGTGACCCCTATCCTTGACGGGTCAATATCTTCCCTTTCTGTAAGATAATCCGCCAGTTTTATCATATCCCAAACCTGTATATTCAACCGTTTAGCTTGTATGTTGTACCTATTACCTTACCTCTGTGTAATTTCAAAAAACTTCAAAACATTACCGTGTCGTATATAAATGGCATTGTATCTCCTTTCTTCCATGACGAAACAAGGGCCTGCATTTTATATTGAAAGAAAGAGCAATTACATTGTTATTTGTGCTGAATAGTATATGCCATATTCCTTTGTCTCTTTCCCATTTCTTTGAAGAGTCAAATATATAGACGCTCAGCTTATATTCACGACTTCACATGGTATCAAAATTTCTTTTCCTTAGAAGCCCAAAGACTCAAGTTCCAAGGTGGGGATTTTCCTCAAAATAAGAGAAGCCAATCGAAAGATAAACAAAAACACATAATAAGAGAGTTGAATTAGTATGTACATCTTGATAGGTTGTCAAGCTGCTTGCCCGCTCTCCATGATAACGAGAATCAATGGCGATGGCCATATATCCCCTCGAAGCATATGCCTGACATATAGAATAAAGTACGCTTAAAATTCCTCAAGGCGAATTGTTGATAATAAGCTTTCAAATGTATCAACCCTCACCTCAAGCAGTGGCCTCAGCCACTCTTTGCATTTACTTGTGCTATGCAAAAAGACAATAGCTGGCCTTTTGGTCTTATTGACTTCTTTCATGCTCAATATCAAGACAGGCAATTGCCCCTGGTCTCCCTCCTGAACGCGGTAATCCCGTAGTTAAATAATAGCCAGAAATACAGAAGTTTTGAGTAAATACTCCCTCCGTCCCATAGTTATTTTCTTGTATGGGATTGTCATGATTTTTAATAAAGTAAAACTTGCGTGGTTGTAGTTTGTGTAGAGGAAAGAGATAATATATGGACCATGCCATCTTTTCTTTGGAAAGAAAGTGGAAGAAAATTTTGCTACAACCCAAATATGAAACCAGGAAGATTTTTATGGGACGGAGGGATTTTTTCTACATCAACGAAATCATTAGAAGCTTTACATTTATCTGCAAAATAACAATCTCCCATGTTCAATGCTTTTTCTTTTCCAGTTTCTGTGGTTCAATGTGTCTTTTTAAGTACAAAAACTAAACACGCAAAACTTTAATTACCTCGGTAGTGAGGTAGAAATTTTCCTCCTGGAGTAATTGTTCAAAATTGGGGACATCTGCCTTTGGACACGATGCCATTGCCTGTTTCAACACCAAAAATAGTAAAGGTAGAACCCAAAAATGTGTATGGTGATCTTTAACCATTCAAATCTTTACCTCACTAAACACTGGCTTGGGAGTTTGCTGATACAAAGGATCTGTAACCGGTTTTCCAGGTACCACAGAAAGCGGAACTGTAAAGAAATCACACCAAGTCTCTGAATTAATGTTTTGGACTCCCTCCGTCCCATAACAAAATCATCAAGAAACAACTTTTAAATTTAAGGTACAATTATTTATAAAACTTCTTCCGTCCCAAAATAAACTTCACACTTTCCTTTTCTATTCGTCCCAAAGTAAACTTAACACTTCTCCTTTTTTCCTATTAGGGAATAAAACATGTGGCTCACAAGTTTTCTCTCCCTAAAGAAATTTCAGTCACACTTTTTACATTGCAACACTTTTCTTAGACACCGTGAAGTCAACCCATGAAATTTATTTCCGGACGGAGGAGTAATCAATTATAGCTAAAAAAATAATTTATTTGGTGGTTTAACTGAATTTAACATATTTAACATTTTTAGATAGTTCTTTTCAAACTTAACAAATAAACTGGATATAATGATTTTTTTTTTGTAGTAAAAGTAAGGGTCCAAACATGACTCTTTTTATCGGATGAATGAATAATATAATTCAATAAAAAAAATCTTGAGATGCCTAAAAACAAAGAGTATTCATATTTAACAGACTCTTGGGCATAAGTTTTTTTCCCTAAAATTATTTTCTCGTAGGAAAAATTCATGTCAATACTCCCAAAAATGCGAGATTCTACAAGAATACTCTGAAATTATATAATTATGAACAGAGCTCCTAGAAATTCAATATTTTTGCAATAACATTCCAAAATTGCTTATGGATTTCAGATACATCTCAAAAGTTGGGATGTAAGAACTCAGATTCGATTAAGCAGGAAATGATTAGTAAACCCTTTTTCTCTGGCTTAAATAATACGGAGTACTCCGTAAATTGTTTATTAATTCCATGGAAATCTATTTCTTTCCTTCCAAGGAAAAAATCGATCTTAACAAGTAAAGCTCTGAATTTGGATTCTGCGAAGAAGAAGAAGGAATTAACAAAGAAGCAAAAGTTTGGGATATGGACGCTACATATATATGCTTGGGAAGGAATTGAGATACCTTGAGGTGGACGGCGGCTGAGGAGGACTTGGAAGAGCTGAGACCGGAGTAGCTCGCCGGCGCCGGAGTTAACTGTTGGTACGCTTGCCATTTTGTGGAGCAGACTTGCAGAGGAGCAACCAAAAATATCAGTTCCTAAGTAAAACACAATATTTTATTTTATTTTATTAAATTATTGATAAAAAAAAGATATTGTATTACTACGTATGATATAACTATAACATCAATATATTTCTATTGAAACTAGTTTTCAAATGTGAATTTTTTTTAAATTATATCTATGAATAAATAAAAATATTAGTGGTCAAAATATAATTTTAGATATTGTAAAAACTTGAATAAAAGAACATTTTCATACGAATGGAGTAATTAAATTTTTAGAAGTATGCTATCAAAAAAACAAAAATCTGGAATAGTAAACAAGAAAAAAGTGGAGACAATGAGAGTATACTTAACAAAAATTTCTCACAATTTTTTTAATAAAAGAAATCTTTATAGATAACTAGATAAGTACTAAAAACTTAAGTGAAGCTCCAAGTCTTTTAAAACCAAAATAAACGGTATAAAAACAGTATAATTAGTTAATCGCCAGCTGATTATTAGACAACAATGCCGATCGATGGTGACACTATGGTGTCTAACCACCAGCGATGGATGATGGCGGTTATATTGTGACAGTTACAGTGTGACAATGCGCTCTTGTTACAGTGTAAAAATAGTAGCATGAACTCATATTTTGGTCTTAAAAGATCTAGGATTGCTATTTTAGCATTTTCAAATTTTTTCACTCCTATTCATGGAGTTTTCTCTTTTTGAAATGCTCGATTTTAACTACTCTTTTCGTCTAAAAAAACATTTACTGTTTCGAATAACGTGCAAAATCTAATCTATGTAAAAAGAATTTTATTTACTTACTGGTTTAGTAAAAAGAAGTATAACTTACACATTTAAAAGTTAAATACTCCATTTTTTTTCAAAAAATAATATTTTATTTTATGAAATGAATAATTAAAAAATAAATGATGGTAAGGTTTGTAGTCATCACGTTTATTTTCCAGGAAAAGAATAAGGAGCTTTGAACTCCAACGATTCTCATTCTGGTGAACAGCAGCAGGAAGCGGCAAAGCATGGGAATCCTCAGAAGACTCAGCTCAGACGAGCTCCAATTCTTCAACGCTCAAGGTTAGCTTCACGCAATTACAGGTAAAGTATAATAAATCCGCGATTGGATTCTGAATCGAGGCGAAATTGTTTGATCCCACAGGGTATCTTGTGCTGGAATCGTTTTCCGCCGCAGAAGAGATCGAATCCATGAGGACGAGAATGGAGGAGTTGCTTGACGGGTTCGATTGTTCTTCCACAACCTCAGTTTTCTCCACCAAGAACCAGGTCAACTCTTGCCCTTGACTCCATAGCCCAAATCTATATGCTCATCTTAGAAATCCCAGAAATTTCTCTCCCCTTTTCTGAGGTTTTCGTTTTTTTTTGTTGTTGGTTTTTTTCTCTTTCAGAAACAGACTACTGACAATTATTTCTTTGAAAGTGCTGAGAAGGTTTCTTTTTTCTTTGAAGGTATCTTGTGGCCTTGACTATGTTGTTTTGTGTGTCTGTGTTTTATCTTTGTATTTGATTGATGGATTTGTGAAAAGTTTTGTGAAATTTACAGAGAAAGCATTTGGGGATGATGGTGACCTGAAGCAGCCAAAGCATCTCTCCATCAACAAAGTTGGCCATGGTAGCTCCAGTGCAGCGTTCTTAATGATTTTTTTTCCTTTTCAAAATAACTTGGATCCTGGATCCTTTATGTTTAAACTACTTTCTGCTCTTAAATCAAGCTTACGAGTATATGATGATGTTTATTGCCTGAGTTTTTACAGCTTTGCATGAAATCGATCCTGTATTTAAGAAGTTCTCTAGTTCAGAGAAACTGTCTGGTCTGCTCCAATCTTTGGGTTATCGGAGGCCAGCCGTTCTTCAGTCCATGTACATATTTAAGGTACTTTTTTTTATAATGAGCTTAAATCAATTATAAAAAGGAAAAATGAGGAACAAGAAATATAGGAAGCTAAGTAGGAAGAAAAACTAGTTACTAGAAACGGATGAGGACATGAGGTATATACTTTATCCATCCTAAAAATTTGATGTTCGAACAAAAAAGATGATTTTCACCATATTGAATGCTTTTAACAAAAATAAATAAAAAGTGTCCCAAATAAGTTGAGTGTGTTAGATTTAGTTAAACCAACAACAACAAACCTAGTAAAAACCCACAAAAAGTATGGTCAGGTGAGTTACCCCTACTCAGATGTAGAGAGGCTGTTTCCAAAGAATAAAGTCAGTTAAACCAAAGAATAAATTTTAAAACATAGATATTGGTGATTATTGCATAGTAGAAGAGAAAAAGAGGGGTTTGTGTGGGACTAATATCTATATGTTGAGACACACACATGACACTTGGACATTTGAGCCGCATGTCAAGTTGTCATTTGTCTCCGACTGCCCCCACAGTAACTACACCCCTAAGGGTGATGATTTGTTGCAGAATGCACAGAAACCATGGTTAGTTTATCAACGAAGAAATAATGGAATCTTCCTATGAATGACTGTAATTAGACTTTCCTAGTGGGAAGTTCCACATATAAAAAAATGTAGAAGTTGTAGTCATTGTGAAGACAACTTGCTTCGATTATGAACTTATTGTACTGAATCGGATTGGAGGACCCATGTATACAATTAACACTTTGATTATAACTTATTGTACTGAATCCACACTTGATGTATACAATTAGCACCACACAAAACATACCCAGTAAATTCCACTCGAAGTAAGGTCTTGGGAGCAAGATATATGCAGAGCTTACCTCTACACCAAGGAGTTGAGAGGGTATCTCTGAGAGAGGGTATCTCTGAGAAGACCCTCATCAAAACAAGATATTCAATTAGTCAAAGCTACAAAAATTAACACAATTTCCTTAATTGCATCACCTAGATTGGTTTTGTTCATCTACACAAGTTGAATAACTTTTCAAGTTGAGTGACTTGCCAACTCTTCTTTTTCTTTCCAGCAACCAGGTATTGGTGGTGAAGTTGTGCCACACCAGGATAATTCATTCCTGCATACTGAGCCAAGAACTTGCATAGGGTTGTGGCTGGCGTTAGAGGATGCAACAGTTAAAAACGGTTGTCTATGGGCTATTCCAGGATCTCATAAAAGTACTTGTATCAAATACTTTTCTAATTTTCACGCTTTTCTGATGTTAGTTACTTAAAGTCAACTATATAATTTTTTTGCTTATTTTTTTTAGATGGCCTCGTGAGGAGATTTATTAGAGATGAGAATGGGGTTCACTTTGATAAGCCATCCCCTTTATATGACCAAAAAGATTTTGTTCCTATCGAAGTTAAAGCTGGGACTCTGATTGTAATTCATGGTGACCTTATCCACCAGAGGTTAGAAATCCACTAGTTATCAGATTGATAGTTGCTTAATGTCCCATATGCACCTATTCTTTTATTCCTATAACCCACTCAACATTTTTTCAATGTCTGTTTTTAACAGCTTTGAGAATAAGTCTGAAAAGTCAAGGCATGCATACAGTGTGCATGTAGTAGACACAGATGGCTGCAAATGGTCGGAAGACAATTGGTGAGTTCTTTGGTTCACTTATCATTTGCTTTTTGTTTTTTTGGTGAAATGCAAATAGTAACTTTATCACGTACATCAAATTCGGGCATCCCCGAACAACACAAGCCCTAGCCGGCCAAATCAAAATCATGGAAGGTACTCATAGTGATAGCCAAAGTACCCTAGCCAAACCTCAAAAGTTCAACTAAAGAGCCACAACAAAAGCCTACAAAAATTAATCAAGAACAACAACTGCACAGTATGTCGTATGCATCAAGGGTCATGGCTTTCCCTTTCCCACATGTGACACAAGCTAACATAATCCTGTTTTTCTGCAAAGAAGTCTGTATTGCGATAACCCCTCCCACGACCCCTGGTTGGGACAGTAGTCATAGGGGGGTTGGATTGGCAGCCATTCTTCTTTGGATGGTCTTCCATATAACCATTCTCAAATGATATACGTTTGCCCCCATTCCTCAAACAATGGGTATGTAGTACCCATTAAACGTCTTGTTGCTTTGTAATGATTGATTGGTTTCTGAGAATGTTTACTTTTGTGTGAATCAGGATTAGGAGGAAAACAGACCCAGAGGCCATATACAACAGTTCTTGACGATTCAGCCGTCCAAACATGGCATCAGGTTCTTTGTAATGCTAAAAACAAAATCTAACTTTAAATCATTCTGATTACTTCTTTGCATCTGAACATAACTCAATGTTAATAAGTAACATTTTTCTTTTGGCATTTGTTATTGGTGTATTTTTTTTTAAAAAAAAATATGATGAAGAAGTGTTACATTTAAGATCATGACAACATATATTACTGTAGATGCTAAATCTTGTGTGTCACTTCCTCATGGCTCAAAAATAGAGAGAGTTGGGTACATTGTTTGAGGAAGAAAAAACATGAATAATGTTTGTGGATGATATATTTCACACTTATTTCTAAAAGAAAAAAAGGAGACCCTTCATAGTATGCCATCACATTTCATCTTCCTCATCCATCTGTGCCTCTATCCTCTGGTCTTTGAAAGGGCCATAAGCCTTGCTAAAAGCTAAAAATAACAAGAAGTTGACCATGCTTAACCCTGCAAGAACCCAATGGAAGTAATCATAGTGACCTTTGTTTATGTTACTTGATATCCAGCTCTCTCTCCCTCCCCTACTAGTCAGGTTATTGACAATGCTCATGAGACAGCTTGACACCAGACTGGCAATGGCCATGCTCAGCCCGAATAGACTCGACGCTATGCTCGACATGCTCTTCGGGAACTCCGAGATGTAGAACTCGTTTTGAGCTATCATGTTCAAGCCCTCTGCGAGTCCCATGAGGGCATACTGTGGGACCACCCACAGTATCGACATGTGGACGACCCCCTTGGGGTCGTCCTCGTACCCCTCCTTGATCGCCACCCCCCTCCTGATACCCTCCACGGTTGCCACCGCAGCCATCGCAAGGAATGAGACGAAGATCCCGCACCCCATTCTTGATTTCGTGCTGAAATGGACTGTTTTGCCCCTGATTGCCGACGCCAAGGGCAGGATGACGCGGTCGTACAACACGATCCAAGTGACGATGAATGCGGCAATGAACGAGGCTACAGAACCCGCGGGGATTTCGAACTTTGGACTGATATGGCGGTCGAGGGAGGTCGCTTGGAGGACGGAGAATGAGCCTTGACTAATGTTTATGGACATTAATACCCTCGTAGTCCATATTGGGATTACTTTAATCAAGGCTTTAAGCTCTTCCACTTGATCAACTGTGCAAAGCTTCCATGGATTTACAGCTCTTCCATCTGCAGTCAAGTCTCTTTCAGGATCTTGTATAATGCAAGCCTTATTCAGACACCTAAAAAAATAAACCAACAAAGGGCAGCATTAGAATCACATGTTTGAAGAAGAAGAAAAATACAATTACACACACACACACAACACAGTTGGATTGGAAGATACTAACCTTAGCTTATCACTTGGATGACTTAGAGTTGATCCTTTTGAATAGTATTCTATTTCATCACTTCCCAAGTAGACCTTGAGATGTCTGTTTCTATAAGAGGCAACCATCACTTCAAATAACCCAGTGATCAAGTTCTTGGTCGGGTTCGGCCTCATGTACCAAGCGGACCCGGAGAAGAACCCGACGACCGCAATGAGTGTGAGTGCAAGCAGAACACCGTACCCGAATTTCCACCCGAAGTTTTCTTGAAGGTAAACAAGACCAGTGATGCCCACAAAGGAAGAAAACGAGCTGGTGGCGTAAAACCAGGTGAAATACCTCTCCGTTTTACTTGCGTTGTTCTCGAAATGCTTCAGCTGGTCGGCGCCGAATGCCAAAGTAGACGACATTACCCCTCCGTATCCGGCGGCGAATGTGAAGAGAGCGGCGCAGAGAAGAACCAGTTGTGGTGTTGTTGCAGGGGTACATTCGTCATTTGATTCACTGCAATGAGGAGGCTTTGCTTGCATGATCACTGTTGGTAGCCAAATAAACAATGTTCCCTTCACATAAAAAGAGATGATAAGACTATATTATTTTTTCAAATGGATCACGAAAATGGGTAAAAAAACGTGGTTAAAGTTTAACCCGGTGAATAGTAAATATGCAACTTAAATTNCGAGAAGGGCGAAAACGGAACCGAAACCGATCATCTGAAACCGACCCACCAAAGAGTCAGCCATGAAAGCAGCGAGAATGGGTGCAGCATTACAGAGGGCAGTCCAAATGTAGATTAAATTAGTTCCATTTGCCATTTCCATGTGATATTCTCTCATCAAATACATTATCAGATTTGCTGATAATGCTGTCATCACCATGGTCATCAACCCATTGTTCCCTACATGTCAATCATCACATATATATTTACATTCATCCAAGCTTGTACTTACAACAAAAAAAAAGAAGACAAAATTTACACCCAAAGCTAATGAATGTCATTTGATTTTAGGTTTAGAAAATATTTTATGCTATCTACTTGGCTTTAAATTAAAAGGCTGGGGATTTGGCTCCTGGTATAAGAGCACTGACAATGGCAATGTATTCCATTGTTTTAGTTTTACCGAACCTCGTGGAGAGGAAATGAAAGAGACAGATTTATTTTTATGATAAAATAGATAATTTAATAATTTTTAATAATTAAAACATGTCAAATTGCACGACATTCCCCACATCGACATGTGACATTTCATTTCCTATTTGCCATTGTTCATGCTCTAAATAGATCATTTTGGAATCCAGTATTCACATGAAATTGCAAAATTTAATTTTCAATGGGTTTTAATTTGTATGGATCTTTTTCCTCAATAATAATAATAATAGTACTAATATAAATAGTGATAATAATAGTAACAATAATAATAATCGTTTCAAAAATATACTAATGCACAAAATGCAATAGCAATTTTACTTACTAAAGGGGTAGTTATTAATACTGTAAAAGAAAAACGAAAGTTTCAATGGGTTTTCATTTGCATGGGTCTTTTTCCCCAATAATGATGATGATGATGATGATGATGATGATGATGATGATGATGATGATGATGATGATGATGATGATGATGATGATGATGATGATGATGATGATGATGATGATGATAATAATAATAATAATAACAATAATAACAATAATAATAATAATTTCAAAGATATACTAATGCAAAAAATGCAATAGCTATTTTACTCACTAAAAGTGTAGTAATTAATACTGTGAAGAAGAATGAAAGAATGGTCAAATATATTTTTGGTCCGAGTGGAATTAGTGAGTTTTGTTGTTCGTCCCAACAAAATAATTTTTTAAATAAATCGTTCCTGTATACTCCGTATTTATTAATTTTGCAAATACTCCTCCCCTAACATATAAATATTTATTACGATCCTTGTAAAAAATTTTTTTAAAAAAATTTAAGTCCAAAAATTCTTATAATTCATTCAACCTTCTTTTCAAATTATAAAATACGCCGTAAACAATTATCTAATTGTTTTTATTTAAAAAATTACTTTTTAGTAAACATTTTTGCTAAATTTGATGTAGTTCTTATTTATACAAATTTATTTTTAAATTTTATGCAAATAATCAAATAAATTGAATTGAAAATGATTTCAATTGTAAATCGAAGGAGGAAGAATGTTTTAGAATGAAGGGAGTACCATACTACTTTTCAATGTAAATTTTAGTGTAATTTTCCAAATTCATGATTTTCAGTAAAACTCATAGTCTCACGGCCCTCACCATCATGGACTAGTTGTGTATCTTTTGTAGGATGATTATATGTGTTTTGAGGACGATTATATGTGTTCTGATGGTAAAGAAATTTTTTAAAAAATATTCGGGTATTAATTTGGTTAAAGATATATACAGTGCATTAAAAATTATGTACCCCGTATTACTTTAGCAAAAAAAAAAGAACTTTTAGTAATGCAATTATTCGATGAAGCTTCTAAAAATATTTTATTGACTTTAACCATGTAATTAAATGTATCTTAAGTAAAAAAAGAAAGGGTTAATCTTCTATAAAAATTTTAATAACTTTAAAAGGAGGAATAAATGAATCAAAAGAATTTTAAAAAGACTAGAAACAAAGAATCAAAACACATATATTTAAATTGGGATGGAATATTTGCAAAAATAATAATTTTATAGGGACGGTTTAATTTACAATTTACAGATACCAAAATCAAAACTAACTAATTTTATAGGGACTAAAGCCAAGAAAAAAAATAGAAAAACGGAAACATAGAAAAGAGAAGAATGTATAGTATACCTATGATGAAAGGCACGGCTTTGAAACCACCCTTTGACTTCTTCTCCACAGAGAAATGATTTTTGGGCAAGAGAGGCTTTTCTTTCTCATGACCCATTTTTTTTCTTATTTCTTCTTCTTTCCCTTTCTCTACTTGGCAAAATAAAGTTGTTATTTATGAGAACTCCTAGCTAGTCCCCACTGGACTAAGTACTCCATTTTATTCTACCCTAAAAAAAGTACATTTTTGCTTAATTTCACCTAACTGAATGACTCTCTGAAGTACGAAATTGGAGTCTGATAATTAAAGTTTGGAAGTCGACGAATGCATTCTAATTTCTAACCTGATGAAATTCTAATGCATGAAATAATATGAAGTTGAAAGAATGAGAACCTATAAAAGAAATGATATTATTCGTGAGTCTTTTGTCTTTCACACAAAGTAAAATCAAAGTTCAGTTTATATAATTTCAAATTGGTATTTGAGTGACCCACTTTATAAAAAAAAAATAATTAAAGGGGATTTGGTGTGCCGTATAGTAGAAGCACATATAGGTGACAAAGATAGTACGGAGTACTTCGTAAGAAGCCCACCTTTAAGATTTAATCAATTAATTAATTAATTTAGTACTAAGACTACTAACTAATAACTACTACGTATATCCTAATTCCAACTAATACGGAGTTAAAAATTTCATGCACATTGTACGGAGTGTTTTGGGTAAACAATAGTTGTTGGTTGATGGAGGCTCTACTTATTACGGCCCAGTTCGATGACCATAGGGTTTCAGTGGCCACATAAGCTATTATCTCGATTCAGGCACCTACGATGTTCTGTTCATAAAATTAATGTTTTTTACCCTTCTTAATTTCCCGGTATATCCCTTTGCTCAGTCTCGGCCCAAACTCATATCCCCTTGCCTACGTCAATTGCACCCCACAATTTTAGGTGACTTTGAGGTAAAAACTTTAGACCTTAAAGTCAATTATACTTGCATGGTGCAATTGGCGTAGGTGGGGGGGGTGAGTTTAAGTCGGGACTGGGCAAGGAGATTTGCCGGGGGATTAAGAGGGGTAAGAATCATCAATTTTACGAAAGGAATATCGCATGGGACAGAGGCTTCCGTGGCCACAGAAATCTAGTGGCCACTGAGCCCAACCTTATTATTAGCATATGTTTCAACATTTAATTTTGATTTTAATTTTTTTACAATAAGAACTCAATTTATCATTACAGTAGAAATAATGTTTGCAAGGAAAAGAGGTGAAACGACGCGCATGTCATTCCACAAAATCAGACATAGAACCCGCTTCTCTAGCCACAATGTGGGCAGTAAGATTCATTGATCTTCTAATAAAATTGAAACTCGACCAAACTATTCAAACAAACTCTATGCAGCTACTTTAATATCAGAAATAATAAAACCAAACGGTGAATTAAATGGTTTTCAACATCTAATTTTAACCTTTCAATAATATTATTTAAGAATATCTTTTATTTTTTTATTAAACTAAGCATTCTAGCTCTAGATGATTTTTCCAAACGAAGCTAAAGTCTAAGAATTTATAAATCTCTCTCTCATTAATAGTGTTTTATGGAATATGTAAAATATAATGATTGTGACAAAAAGCAGAAATTGATATTCTAAACATAACAAAATAGCGGCGGCTCAAAAATAGCAAAACTCTAATCTTAATTAGAAGTATGGCTTATGGCAAGGACAAATCCAAAAACATTTGGACTAAATCATATTAAAGGATTGAACTCTATCAATTATCTAATTTAATTCAAAGCCTTAGAGTCTGTTTGGTAAACGAAATTGATGAAATTGGAATTGAATTGGAATTGAAGTTCCATGGGATTCAATTCCAATTGAATTCATCCACTCCAATTCATTTTTTCCAGTACCAATTCCAAATCACATAATTTTTGTGCTACCAAACAACAGAATTAGAACTGAAGTCCTCAATTCCAATTCTATAATTTGAATTCCGTATACCAAACGGGGGTTTAAACTTTTTATTTTTTCTCAAAATTATAGGAAATTTTTTAAAATAGTTGCAATGAAATTGGCCAATCTCTAGTTTGTTACTCTCTACGGCTCTTTATTTTTAAATTAGTACTCGGTTTGAATGGGCACACTGTTTAAATTTTGTTTTAAAAAGAATTAAGTGCATCAAAATAGAGACGGTTCTTTTTTAGATAAAGAATTTGAGGGTGGTATTTTTACCAAAATTCTTTATCAAATAGTTTCATTTTTTATTTTGTCTATTCATATATTAAGAATCTTAATTAAAATGGAACCATATTTTCAAAACCAAACCAATTATGACGACTAAGGTCATGTCCTCCCGAACTTATTTTTTACTCCCTCCATCCCAGAAACCATGGGAGTTTTGATTTTGAAGAGGGATTTAAGGGAAGTGTATTTTGGTATTGAATTTCCAAAAATGTCCTTTGATGTGATGGGTAAAAGTATGATTTGATGGATAGATTATTGGTAAAAAGGTATGATGTGATAGGTAGGGTATGAAAAAGTAAGGGGTAAAAGTGACTTTTAAATAGAAATGAGAAGGGTTTTTTGGGACGGATGAAAAAAAAGGAGAAAGATTTTCAGGAACGGAGAGAGTATACAACAACAACAACACAGGTGAATCCCACAACAGTAGGGTAGAGGGAGTATATTATTACTTATTTTTATTAGAATCAGATCAGATCCGATTCGATCAGATCAGAAATAGCTTCGAAATATATCTATAATCAGATTAGATGAAGAAAACATTTTCTAAGAGTGGACAGAGTTTCGGAATCAAAACTGAAACCTTGGGTTCTGGAATAGGATTGGTCAAGAGGGGCCCAAAGAACTGGACCACAACTAATGAATGGATCCGAATGGATTTGGGTTCTCAAAACGAAGGACCGGAATAGGAAGTCTGAATCATTAGTCACTATTGTTGAATTACTAAAGTAGGTGTTGTGGGTCTGAAATCGGACCGGTATCGTGTTTAAACCTGTCAAAGAATTGGTTCTAACTTATTTGGAAAATTTTTATGTCGTGTTTATGTCTCTCCTTATATATGATACCAAAAAACTTCTCAGTTTGACTTTTCTTGATCAAGTTTGACAAATGTGTCTAGATTACTCTTGTTCTCATGTAAGACAATGACATAATACACATAAGTGATCTTTGATATGTGGGGCAAAAAAGAAAGCTCCAATCAATCAATAAAGTTGTTCATTAAAATCAAGATTATTATTATTATTCTAATCTTCAACAACATAGGATTGTTTATTCTTCTTCTCTTCCCCATAGGGCCCATAAGCCCTGCTACACAAGAAGAAAAGCATGAGATTCATCAAGCTCAACCCAACAAGAACCCAATTGTAGTAGTCATAGTGACCCTTGTTTATGTTGCTAGATATCCAACTCCCCCCCTCCCACCCCCTCGTCGCTCCGGCCACCGCGCTCATCAGCCCGCTCGCCGCCATGCTCGCCGTCGCCATCCCCACCCCGAGGAAGTTGGAAGCTATGCTCCACATGCTCGGGGGGAACTCCGACACGTAAAACTCGTTCTGCGCCACCGCGTTCATCCCCTCCGCCAACCCCGTGAGCAGCGCGTGCGGGACCACCCAGAGCACCGACATCCCGACAATGCCCTCGGGGTCGTCCGAGAGCCCCGCCTTCACCGTCCGGGCCCGCCGGGTGCCCTCCACGACGGCGGCGGCCGCGACGGCCAGGAGGGAGACGAAGATCCCGCACCCCATTCTCGCCGTCGCGGAGAGGCGGAAACGCCGCCGGATCACCCGCTCGTACAGCGCGAGCCACGCTATGATGGAGACGTAGGTGAAGATGCTCAGGGAGGCGGCCGGAATCTCGAAGCCGCCGGTGGGCGGTCCCACGTGGCGGTCCATGGTGGTGGCTTGGAGTATGGAGAAAGAGCCTTGGCTGACGTTGATGTTCATTATAACTCCGGTGGCCCATATTGGGAGGACTTTTAGGCATGCTTTGAGTTCCTCCACTTGTTCCAATGTACAAAGACTCCATGGATTTAGTGCTTTCCCATCTGAGCTTAAGTCCTTTTGGGGGTCTTGTATAATGCATGCCTTATTTAGAAACCTATTTGACATATAAACAGTTAAGGAAACCTCATGCAAAATGCATCTAAATATGCACACAAAAAATAGCTAAATAGGAGAGTTATGTTTTAGGGCTATAATATTGAAAACTGCAAATTAATTACCTAAATAGGACTAAAAGATAATGACTTTCTCAAAATAGGACCATATGTTTTTATTTATTAATGTAGGACACTGCTAGGACTATTGGTCATTATCTATTAGTCATTATTCAACTAAATGTCCAGCATCACTTGGACATTATTCTTTTCACTAGTCATTATTAAGTCCTATTTATTAGAAAATAAAAAAATTTAAGTCCTGCATTGGGAAATGGCTTATGTTTTCAGTGCAAATTTCACAATTAAAAATGCTAATAAAAAATATTGTTCTCAAACTAGGCCTAAATGAATAAATGTGTAATGTATATCCATACTTATCCGATATATATCATAAAAGTCATAATGGATCGTCAAACCGTGAATGAAGAGAGTAAGCATAAAGAACATTATCGAAAAAGGAGGACAATTTTGGAACGAAATGCAATAACAAATGACGCCTTTAACTACGTACCTTAGTGTTTCGGTGGGGTGGCGTAGCGCGGGACCTTGTTGATGGTACGCTTCGACAACACCTTTATCTTGACTGGATGAAATTGTGATTCTTCTCTTTCGATAACAAGCAACGACGACTTGGAATAGCCCCGTGATTAGGCTCCCTTTTGGCTTCGGCTTCACGTAGAAAGGGTATCCCAAGAGGATGCAAGTAGTGGCGAAGAGCATGAGAACCACAAGAACTCCAAAACCAATTCCCCATCCCATGTTCTCTTGGATGTAAACCAAACAAGTGATGGAAACAAGGACGGACGCCATGTTGATGGCGTAATAACACCCGAAGTAGCTCTCCGTTGCGCTCCCGTTCTTCTTCTCGACGTTCTTCAGCTGGTCAATGCCAAATGCCAAGGACGAAGACCTCACTCCCCCGGAACCAACGGAGACGAGGACGAGGGAGATGAGTAGAACTAGGAGTTGCAAAGGGGTTGCTGAGGTGCAAATGCTGTTATTGTTTGATTGGGTGCAATGAGGTGGCCTTGCTTGTGGCATAATTGTTGTTAGCCAAAGCAGAGATATTCCCTACAGAAGCATATAAATTTCATCCAAACGCATCCAAATTAAAAGTGAAAAGTCGACTTTTTTTAGACGGACGAAAAAAGAAATATAATATGGAACTTTTCCTGGGGCGAAGTTAGTGTATATTTATGTTCAAAATAGTATATTGAAGGAAGACTATTCTCTAGTCTCTACCATTATAATTTGTATGGCATATCAATAGTTGAATGAATTTAGACGTACATCATGGCCACATTCATTTAACTTTTGATGTATCACGTACAAATGACATAATGGTTAGTGGCATGTGAATGAAGATAATATAGATGTAGTAAAAACAACTAATTTTCTTGGATTAAAAAGATCGAGAGAATGTACCAAAAGATTGATTACGGATCCAAGGGCTATCATCTGAAACCGGCCCATAAAAGAGTCGGCCATTAAAGCAGCAAGAATGGGTGTGACGTTTGAGAAGGCGGCCCACCAGTAGATTATATTGGAACCGGTAGTCATATCGAGTCCATACTCTCTCATGAGATACAATATCATGTTGGGAGCTATCCCACAATTCACCATCATTGTCAATGCCAAGTTTCCTATATATTGTCTCACCAAATTTAAGACGATTAAATTGATGTTGTTAATAATTAAATTAAATTTATATCGGATATGAATTAGATGAAACAATGTTTTGAAAATATTTTACAAGATGAAACTAATAAAATCATTTTTTATCGATATCTAATATCAGCTTTATTTAATTTATGATCAAAATTTGTCAATTTTAAGCATCGTAAAAGGTCGAAACTGGACAAAGATTCTCAAACAATTAAAGATAATATTTGTCGAAATTGGACAAAGGCTTCGAAACAAAGTCAATATTAAAGTTTGTCAATTTTACCTTTAATCATACGAAGTATTAAATAAGACCAGTTACTATCAAATTTTATTAATTTGCAACTTTCTCCATTATGTGTATTCTGCTTGTCACACCTAATTACCTTCTTTGTCTCATTAAAAATGTTCGACACTTTGATTTTACGAAATTTAAAAAATTTATTGAAAAGTCTAAAAAAATAGTTAAAATTTGTTTAAAGGAGAGATAATTGCTGGTAGCCACATACAAAGTATTCATTCATTATCAAAAGAAAAATAAAGTAAATGCAAAGTTTTTTTTTGAAACATTTTAAAAAAGAAAATGTAAAGAATTTTATGAGATGGAGGGAATATAAGAAATTAAGAATACAAAGCAACAAAATAAAAAAGCACAGCCTCCCCAAGAGGAAAATAAAGATTTGCCAAGATAAAGCTTTAGTGTCCAAAAATCAACAAGTTGCCCCCCTCATGCAACCCACACAAAACAAATTAAACAAACACGGTCCCTTTGAATAGTACGAAGTATATGCATGTGCTTTTTTTTTAATTTCATTTTAACTTTTGATTAATTTCATTAATCCAGATTTTTTTTGAGTCGGTTTACCCCTAGCATTTTTGTTTTTTTTTTGGCTCGTTAGAATCTTGGAATATTTCTTGGATTTTTTTCTTCCCAATTCTTCAATTCGAAAAAATTGTGTACAATAAAAGAACAATGATTCACAATATTTCTTTCTTTCAAATAAATTCTAAACATCTACTCTGTATTTTTATAACTTTCCATATTTTTTTACAATTTCGTAAGTAAAATTATCGATTCTAAGTAAAAAAAATTTACAATTTTGTAAGATGTTACTTCCTCTGTCCCAAAATTATCGTCCCAGTACTATTCTGACTTTCCGATTACTTTTGTTGATTTATATCTTTTTTATTGATTATTTCATAAAATAAAATAGTATTGTTTACCTATTTATTTATGTAATTTTGAATATATAATTTGTACTTTTATTTTCATACATATTTTAATAAATAAAATAAATTGAAAAAGATTAGATTTTGTACATTTTCTTAAGTGAGATGATATTTTTTTATAGCACTTTATTTTGAAACATTGTTGTTAGAGTGTATCCCACATTGAAAGTTACGTAAAAAAAATAATCAGTATATAAATTCTTGAGTTGAACTAAGGAATCAATTGAATTTAATCTTGTAATATGGTTCAACCAAAATTCTTATGTCTCAGTCTAACAATCCCTACCTCAATCATAAATTCTATCATGGTGTCAGAGCAGATTTTGGCTCACCTTGTTTAATGTGTTCATCTAAATGTTCATTCCTAACGGCACTAGTTTTTAAGCTCAGTTGTTCGTACGGAATAACCAACAACATGTGACCCATTCAACAAGATTGTTCGTCTGAAAGTTCATAATTGAAGAGAAAAGTTATAGCTATATAAGCTCTTGACTTGAACTAAGTAATGGATTGGATTCAATCTTGTAATGTGGTTTAGGCCCCGTTCCGTTCAACTTATTTTTTCTTATTTTTTTATTCTTATTAAAATCAGATCAGATCGGATCCAATTAAGAATTATTATTATTATTATTATTATTATTATTATTCTTAAAAATGAAAAAAAAAATTAGAAACAAGTTAAATAGAAAACTGAGAAAGTAATCCTTAATTATTAGACGTCAGAAAAATTATTTTTAAAATACATTGACAATGTCAATCTAATTCTACTATTAAAAGACATTTTTATTGCTACCTGTAATATGAGTTTCTAAAGTTTTGATCTTTTATTACATCGAGTTGATCAACTTTGATCATGACTTAAATAAAATTAACATTTGATATTCATATGTGGAGTATTTTTAGTGTAACTGAAATAACTATTATATCTATGGTGTTATATTAAACATAAAAAAAAAAGTCTCATAGTACAAAGCACATGTTGATATTTTATAAGGATGAGATATCTTAATAAAAATAATCTCTCTTCTCTATATTGATTATCTAAACTTAATTACTTTTTAATGTATACATGAATTAAATATTTATTCTAATGTATATATGAACTAATTATTAAAATATTAAATCAAGATTCTTATTTCATAAAAAATAATCATAAAATAAAAAATATTATTATATTATAATATGAATGATTATTCTAATATATTAGTTAACTAATTTTATTTCAATAAAAAATAATCATAAAATAAAAAATATTGATTATATTATAATATGAATTATCATTACAATTTTCAAACATTATCATAAAGTGAAATCAAATTATTGATTTGAATTTTAAATCAAATCATAATTAATTAGATCAGATGAGATCAGATCCAATCAGATCAGACTAGATCAGAACTACAAAAAATCAGACCGGATCAGAAGAAATAAGTTGAACGGAACAGAGCGTTAGTCCAAGTGCCTTATTTCCCACACTAGTGACTCATACCTCACCCTAAATTTATTAAGCTAGTTAACACTGTTAATGAGTTGTTTTTAATTTATAAGTCAGCTGATCATGGAAGATCTCTTTTTGTTTATCAGCTGACTTATAAGCAGCGTATAACTAAAAAAATGAGTAGGTCTTACTTATTTTTAAGCTAGTTTTTTCGTTTCTCTGTTCTAACCAGATTATTTACAAAACAATCTCTCACTATTTATGAATATCCTTAAACGACACATCAATGATTTAAGTCATTTTGTTCATATGAAAAAGATTTAACTTATAAGCAGTTTATAAGTTAAAAATTATTTATTAGTAATGAACTAATAAGTACTAGCATAGAAACACTCTAGTCAATACAATGTAATCTCAAAATATTAACAAACGTGTAAAAACTTTATTCACATTGGTTATATTGACATCAAGGTTGAATGTCATAGTATAACATTAGCCAAATTTAAGCCTTTACGGTTCGAATTACAAATAGTTCATACTCTAACCTTCCTAGTAAAACTCTCCCATATCGACTTGACACAAACTACTTCCACCGATACCCCCTTTCAATTGTACCCCAATTTGATTTCAAAGTCAACTTAATTTGGAAGTGAAACTAAAGGGAGTGGCAGTGTGGTTCGGGTCGGGCCATGTGGTTACATGGAGGAATCTTCAATTTATTCAAGTAAAACACCATAGTGCTCTAATTTGGGTGAGTGTCATAATTAAACACCCAAATCTAGTGTAATTATAAGCTACCCAAACTTTATCTTAGTCCTTACTTCCTTCAATGTCTGGTCGAACTGTTGTACAAGTAAGCCAGCCGGGTTCAATGTCCGGTTTGGTTCTAAAACATGGTCACAAGGCTAAGAAATTGATGGAGTAACATATACGAATATGATTATCTACCTAACTCAATTTGTTGAAGAGTGCCATTAAATAAATTTGTATGTATTTGATCAAAATGAAAATATCATATATTAGCTTCACTTTCATTTTTTTATAATATCTAATGCAATATCTTGACTATTAATATATACTCCGTATATAGTTTTTATACACACACACATATAGTTTATAAAAATATGATAGTACGTCTTTTTTCTTCAAAAAAAAATATGATAACATTTCAAAACTGCATTCCAAAATGAAGATGTTGAAATTAAATTTCTGTCACAATTTAATACTAACACAGAGTACCTTCTTTCTGTAATTTGTGTGAAAATTTTAAAGATTTTGACCGTAAAAGTCAAAATTGTTAAAAAGAAAACAAAAACAGGGAGTCCATAATGAACAAGACTGCAGAGTGTGACTAGAAGATCAAGAATCAAGAAGATCACTTCCCAATTCAAGATTAACATTTATTTATTTAAATATTAACAATTTTTATTAAAAGAAAAAGCAAAAGACGAAGATACCCCCGAGGAAACTCCAATAATTGAAGAAGAATAAAAAAGAAAAAAAAGAAATATTGCAGAGAGAGATTGATTGATTTTTTTTATAAAGAAGAATTATTACCAGCAATGAAGGGCAGAGTTGTAAAACCACCAGCTCGGTGGGTGGTGGGAGATGGTTCCAGGAGAGGGCACTGTTCATCGCCGTCACCTTCCTCCCCAACCGCCACCGCCACCGTTTTCTTCATCCTATTTTCGTCATCCGCCGCCGCCGCCGCCACCATGGGTAAAGAAATTAAAAGAGTTCGATCAGAGCTCAATTTCTATTTTTTTTCTCTATAAAGAAAGAAAGAAAGAAATGTCCATATATAAGTGCCTTACTTAATTAATTAGCTTCAATAATTTTCACTACACAAAAACAAAAAGGGAGATGAAAATGAGGAAGAAGAGATATACTATAATGGAAGAAATTAGAATTATTAGGAGATTGTAGCGTGTCACTATGCACTTGAGAGTACAAATACTATATAGGCATATATATGTGTGTGTGTCACCCGCATGAACCCGTCCAAACCACACGTAATTTCTACGTTACAAATTCAATAGCACTACATTATATACTATTCGCTCCGTCCCAAAATATTTGTCACACTTGCTTTTTCAGCAGCCGCAGAAATTTTTGTTTATTTTTACGTTTTCATTGGTTATTTGATAAAATAAAATGTTCTTGACAGCTCTTATTTCGAAGAACTTTTCATGTAGTTTTTTTATATGTAAATTTTATTTTTTATTTCTATACCAATATGTAAATAAAATTAATTGAAAAAACTCGATATTTTACCTTGGGAATACAAGTGTGACAAATATTTAGGGACGGAGGAAGTATCTCCTATCTCCGTTCTATAAAACTTTTTCACTTTAAGAGAAAAAATGAGATTGAGAAAAATGTACTCCCTCCGTCCCAGAGTATTTGTCCACTTTCATTTTTACACATCACCCAATGCACTTCTTTAATCTATTTTATCTTGTAATTTGTATATTAAAAAATTATAGAAATTATATATTAATAATCTATATGTTAAGACAAATCAAACAAGATCACACATGATTATATTTAGGCTTACACATTGAGAGAATTTGATGAGTCAAAGTGCTTAGATGAACAGTTCCAAAAGTCAAAAGTGGACGAATATAGCGGGACGGATGGAGTATAATTTTGTGTTATTTTCCAAATTTTGTCCATACTTTATACAGGGTTGTAGAGGTAAGATGAATTCAAATGCGATGAACAGATGAATGATGAATTGGTAGGGCAGGATGAGTAAGGTACTCGTAATATTTAGTATAAGCGAAATGGAGATGTAAATTGAAAGTGAAAATTGTTTTTCTGGGGTAGATGAAAAGTAAAAGTGAAAGTGTATACATGCATTGCATTCGAGGGAGAAGGGGGGTAGGGGCGGGGTTTAGGCAAACGGTTAGGAAAGTAGGAACCATCGATTTTACAAACGTAGCACCAGGTGTTCTAAAAATACAGTGACACAGCTAGTGGCACCCTTGATCAATGCATCATACTTTCATAAACTTAACAAAATTCTTTCATTGACGACCTAAGATTCATGATAGACGTTCATTTGACTCACCTTACATCTCATACAAAGCATAAATAAAAATCACTCCCTAATTTTGAATTTTTTCAGTTAATTAAAATCAACATTTGATTCATAATTAAATAATAAGAATGATATGGCACCCCGTATAGGTATAATATCGGTTAGATAAAAAAATATTTTGAAATAAATTTAATAAAATTATTTTTGTATCGGTATTTAGTATCACTATTAATAATCACAATTTATTAATTTTGACTATAAAAAATCAAAAAAGAAAAGAGATAGTGCAAACAAGAAAGTGTGTATCTAAGAATAAAGCAAAAGGGTAAATAAACAATAACAGAATGGTATTTTACTTTTTCTTTTAAAAAGACAGATAAATATGAGGGCAGGTCTCCCAGTCATCAGCATTTGCCTTGGCCGGTTTGGTTTGTTGTCTCCACCGTACGCTAAGGATTAAATTTTTCTGCTTTTTTTTTTTTAAAATTTCAATTTTTGTACATGTTTGTTTGTCCATTCATTTTTGACTTTATTATAGAGTAGTTAATTTTTGTATTTATTGTTTATCCAAATTTTCACTCACTAAACTTACTGCACTGTTCCTATTTTTACGACATTTCTTATTCTTGATGCTCCCCCTCTAGCCACCCAAACTTTTTTTTTAGTTCTAGTAGTCCCTCACTTTGATTTTTGTGGTTAAGATTTATAAATTTTGATTATAAATTACAGGAAAAGTACATTGAATTACCATATTAATTTAATATCACTATGTTTATTTTGAAATGTAATTTTGAAATTTTATATTTTATAAAATATTTTTATATTTAAATAGAGCCATTAATAGTAAAAATGTTGCATTGAAGACAATGAAGAGTCAAATAAGAAAGAAATTTGTGGATGGAGGAAGTACTCTGGGTTGTAGTTGTTGTCGGGTCCTTCTTATTACTCCATACTCCCTCCGTCCACAAATAAACTTTACGTTCACTATCCACAGGTCAAACTTTATTCACTTTGTTGGCCTATTTTCGTTACCCATTTGATAAAATAATATAGTCATGTCACCTCTAGTTTTGTAGATCTTTTGATATAGTTTTTTAATATGTGATTTTTATTTTAAAATTTCATACCATTTTTCATATAAAATGATTTAAAATAGCTTCAGTCAAACCTCGTAACGCGCAACGTAAAGTTTATTAGTGGACGGAGGGAGTATTTTTTAAAAAGATGGTAAAAAGTAAAAATATATCTCTATCGAGAAGGAGATCAGAAGACGAACAGAGAGAATATAATATGTGCGGAATGTAAGGAGAAGCCGGATGTACCTTACTTCTGGTACTACGTGCAGAGTATACCATATAGCTTCTGAATTATTGTGGAAAGCTTAATTAATGGTATGAATGATGGGTTTGCAATGCCTATACTAGCAGACACAATAGTTGGGGAAAATCCAAAGAGAAGGTTATTGGGTAGGTAATAATTGAGCATCTCCCATGGGGCCAATGGATTTGTTAAAAAATGAGTTGCTACATCATATTTTTAACAAGCAAATACTCCATCACGTGATTCACTTCTTCGTTCAGATTTAATCTTCTCATTTGTTTTTTCACGATCTTCAATGTAACCCTTTGACTATAACTATCAATACTCAGTATTATTTACACATAAACATATTCCCTTTGTCTCAAAAAACTATTCATGTTTTGATTTTTTAAATAAGTCAAACAGTGACACTCTCCGGTTTCAAATGAAAAACAATTTAAATAAATAAATATTATAAAGATTTTATATATCAAAACTACATTATGAAACCAATTATATTAACTTTATATTATCAATAAATAAATATTTTTTTACAATTTATGGTTAAAGAACATCACAGTCTGACAAAAAAAAGTCAAAACAAGAAAATTTTATCATAGTTTGACAAATGTTTATAGAAATCACTCTGAATATGATTAAAACATAGAATAAAATACAGTACCAAAATAGGAGTTTTATGTTTTTATTTCCGAAATAAGAGTTCGCACTGTAGTCATGTGGTGGTAATGAGACAATGTACATGTACACATTACTATACTTTTTGGTAATGTAAATGATCATGTTTGGTAATGTAAATGCATTTTAACTCATATTTCGGAAATAAAAACATGGAAGTCTTATTTTAGTATATTTTCAATGTTTTACTCTTACTTTAGTCTTTTTTCTCATATGTTTACTCTGAGAGGGGGGACAACTGACAAGGCCATTTCACAAAATTGGCATATTTATTTTTAGATTGTATATGCAAATAATCGGATCTAGTACTCCAGGAAAATAATGATTAATGGAAAATTATGTTGCCCCGCCACGTACACCCCACTCATAAAGTCATAATTAATAACTCATAAATGGGCAAGGAAATTAAATTAAATAAGAAGCTAATTAAGTGGAGATCTTTTATTACGGAGTATTTCATTTTGAAAAAATTCTCTAGTCTCTATAAACTTTTCTCCCCTAATGTTAATGTATATATTGAATAATAAGAAGTTATTACTTATCAACAAATAAAAATTGATTGCTATGTTGATGTGGTTGGCATTTCTTCGACACATTTGCTAAGAGATAGGAAGACAGACTACATATTATTTCATGGGTGGAGTGAGATTGAAGGTTTATTGAGATATGTCTGCTTTTTTGCCAACAAAGTTGTATGACTTGCTTTATTAACAAGTTAATTAAAAGCACATTCTCATTAATTAATTAATTATTTATTTATTTAGCAAGGATACTAGTGTTGTGTGCAATATGCATAAATAGATCTATCCCAAAGTCAAAACATTATTAGAAAAAAGCACCCTACAAAATACAGGGAACAAACCCCATCAAGTTATGCATAATACTAATCAAACAATAATAATAGTTTACATAAGAGTTGTGTTTTCATTATCTTCAGGCTCATATGTGAAATGTCGACCTTCTCATGCTTTTAGTGGGCTGACATATATCCTTTTTTCAAAGAGTTCAATTTGTCCACGGTGTTTATATACTAAGGTCCATAAAATGAGTATATGTCTACAGAAAAATTTGCCTTTACATAAATCTTCCATTGATTTTGGTGCCAAACTAGATTCATGCAGGTGTGTTGCACAAGTAATAGTTTGTGGTATTGTTTATAAGAATTTTATATGTCATTTACCTTCCAACTCATAAAGTGCAAGTTTTTCCACCGAATTTTAAAAAATGCACCGGTAGTCCATATATTTTTTATAAAGTGTGTACTTTACCTTCTAACTCTTTAAAAAGTTCATGTTTTTCTTCTGAATTTTTAAAAGTACACCATTAGTCTTTATATACTTTTCATAAACTGCATGTTTTCCTCCCAATTTTCCAAAAATACACATTAGTCCGATTATTTTTTCTTTTTATTCAAGTTTAGTGATGTTGTAAAATCAAGAGAAATTCATTGGCTATCAACCATAGGCCATTTTTAAAAGTATTGGACTAATGGTTGCATTTGAATGTTCATGGGGAAGGTATACACTTTATGAAAAGTATAGTGACTAATGGTTCATTTTTGAAAGTTCAAGAGAAAACATGTGTTTTTTAAAGAGTTCAGGAGAAAGCACGCAGTTTAATAAAAGTATAGAGACTAGTTGCGTATTTTTTAAAATTCAGGGATAAAATATATACTTTATGAGAAGTTCAGGGGTAAATGACGCAAAAAAAATCTTAAATTTAAGATGTGGTGGTAAAGGTCATAGGACTGAATTACAAGACACTTGAATTGAACTATATTAAAAAATGAATTTAATCGATTACTTAGTTTAATTCAAGAGATTATATACTTATTCTTTTTCTCTTCGAATTCTAGTGTGATACATCTTAACACTCTCTCTCATGTAGACAATTGAATCATTTTGAATCTATAGTTAGTCAGTGAACACTTGCAAACAGATTTCTATCCCCTGAAATAAATATTTAAGCGATAACAC